AGAGATCATACAGCTCCTATGTGGGGCTCAACAACCGCTGCCCACACAGTTGAATGAAGTTCGTTTACAATTAACTCAGCGACCTACAACAAATGCGCCGCTCGAAAATACTCCTACCGGAGCCCCTCCCCAGGAAGGAACATTTCCCTTGCTAGGATGGGATCCTAAACTCCTAGAGACCGTAAGTTCGTTTACCATCTCACACAGCTCACCTGACACCTCCACGTCTTGTTGCCATTCCAGATGATGTCATTCATAACGAGCTACAATGCTTCGTTCGTGAAGAGTTCCCCCTGAAGAAAAATGATCGCTTCCCCACTCACCGCAACGTCCATGAATCTTCTCCCTTAGCAAATGTAGTCCTCCAACATTCCATCCCAACGGGCTTCAAGCTTCCAAGCATCGACACCTACAAATGGATAACTGACCCATATGAGCAGATTAATCACTACCAAACCATCATTCACATCTAACGTGTCTCTAATATGATTCTGTTCCTGGCCAAGCTTAAAGGGAAAACTCGCACATGGTTTTATTCTCTATTAGGAGGCACTATAAACACCTTTAACGAACTTGTCAGACTATTCACAAAGCAGTTCATGGCAAACCGAGGGATCATCATCAAAGATTCATCCCATCTCTCGGGATTCGCCAAAGTGAAGAAGAGTCGCTCAATGACTACTTCAGTAGGTTTTCCATTGAAGCCCGTTAGATTCTTGGAGTAGATCTGGAGTTACTCAGTGGAGTCTTCTTTAGGGGGGCTCCGCCCAGGACTCTTCTACTCATCATTGATGCGGGAGACAATTCGGTCTTATGTTGACCTTGTCCACGGTGTTGAGGCCCAAATCACTGCGGATGAGACCATCAACACGCATAAGAAGAAGTTCGAGCAATTTGGGGGAAGGCGTAAAAATAACGACAGAGACAATAATCAATCTTCACAGTGGAGAAAGTCCGAACAACAGAGGAATTGTGAACTACCTTTTACAACAAAGTGAACATCGATCTAAGAAAGATTACACCACTCAATACGTCGCGTGTTAACCTTCTGATGACCATAAAAAAATGAGAAAACTATTAAGTGGCCTCATCTCGTAAAACCTGACTCAGAGAATCAAGAATAATATTGTCATTTGCATTGGAGTCGTAGCCACACCACTGAGACATGTAAGCAGCTCAAGGAAGAGATTGAAATGTTTATTTGACAGGGATATTTTGGCCAATTTGTGCGAAACAAATCAGCTGATATCAATAATGCTCCCACTGGGGGGGGGGGGGGGGGGGGGAAGCCCCCTCAAAC